TGTGGAACTTCTCGGACATGTGGATAAGTTGGGATTTTTTTCATCAAATTTGGTAAGCTTTTGGCTATTCTTTCCTCAAATGCCCATTCTGTGCTTTCTCTCGCCTCTGCCCTGGGGCCCCTCGCACCCATGTGGTACTGTTGACAGCATCCCACAAGCCTCTGAGGACCGATTCATCTGTCCTCTGCAGGCAGGATAATCCCAATTACTGAACTGCATGCTCGCTCGCTGACTCTCTTCTGATGGGTCAGTTACGTTCTCAACCCCACAGCTAATTTCTCATTTCACTAGCGCACTTTCCAACTTCAAAATCTCTATTTGGTTCTTTGAAAAATGTTTTCTTTCTTCATAGTCTCCATTTAGTAAAACACTATTCTCATATTTCCTTTTAACTTGTTAGACGTGATTCTTTGGGGTTTCTTGATCATATTTTATTTTATTTTTTTTTTTAAGATTTTATTAATTTATTTGACAGAGAGAGAGAGAGAGAGCACAAGTAGGCAGAGTGGCAGGCAGAGGCAGAGGGAGAAGCAGGCTCTCCGCTGAGCAGGGAGCCCGATGTGGGGCTCGATCCCAGGACCCTGGGACCATGACCCTGGGACCATGACCTGAGCTGAAGGCAGCCGCTGAGCCGGCTGAGCCACCCAGGCGCCCCTCTTGATCATATTTTAAATCTTCATCTAGTGTGTCTGATCCCTCAAAGACAGCTTCTGCCGAATGTGTCCCTCTGCGTGTGGGCTGTGTATTTGTGATTCTTTGTCTCAAAATCTTAATTTGAAAACTGGACAGTTTAAATTACATGATCTGGCAGCGGTGGACATCAGGCCGTCGGCCCACCAGGCTTTGTCGCCCACTCTTGTTGCTGTTGCTGTTTGTTTAAGGATGTTTCCGCACTAGCTCTGCGAGGCACGTGTTTTGTGCTGGGTGTAGACACTGAGTTTCCGTTCAGTTACTTTTGTGGTGAGCTCATGTGCGCACAGAGATTAAGTACCTGGAACCAATAAATCACCCAGTCTTTGCCAGGAGGTTTTGGGGGTGGGGAGACACACCTTCGAGGCTCCAGTAATTTGCGTGCCTGCCCTGGTTTTCACTTCCTGCTCATGCAAGGCTTCAAGGTGCCCTGAGGGGAGAGATTGGTAAAATATGTATCTAGTCGGAAATACTTTGTTAATACATTTATGTACATTAAAAATGTATAATCCTTATGGAAAAGGATATCCTGAGAGAGACACTAAGCTAACATGTGAAAATATTAAATAAATGAATGGACATGACTCATGGGTGAATGAGTATAAGGTAAATCCAAGGCCCCAACAGGAAATACCTCCCTCACCTCCCTCTGGACCTGCCCTGAGGTTGAGCCCTGTGCTCGGCGGGTCCTGCGTGCCCATGTGGCCCAGGCACCACCTGGCTGCCCTGCACGGGAAGTCGGTGCCTGGGGCCACGCTCTGTATCTTGCACAGTGATCCAGTCACCTCTTTGGCAGGAAGGGAGCTCAGCTGCTGGAACAGCTGGGCCTTGGGCTGTCCCTGGAGCTGCGGCGGCTCCGGAAGGTGGCACAGCATTTTGTGACCCCAGAATCACATAATTCACCTACCCCCTGCAGCCCCTTCCCTGGGGACTGACAGAACCAATACCAGCAGGAACCACTGGTTCTGATGGAGGCCTGAGACAGGAAGGTGGTGGAGAGGGGTCTGTGAGGCTTTCTCCAATCTGGGCCAGTTTCCACCTGTTTTACTTGGGACAGATGAAAAATTAATCAACTGTGACAAATATTGGTCACCTCAGGCAAGTGAACCCTTTTGGAAATATCTGAGATGCTCACAGGGAGCAGTATCCACCAGACAGAAAACACTCTTGATTTCCTGGACAAAGTCCATGACTCCTAGAGAACCCTGCCTACAGCATGGGCATTCTCACCAGATTCTGAAATTTAACCTGAAGATGAAGACACCAGGTATAAAGCAGGGAAGGGTCAGGGAAGCCTCAGCCTCGGTCTCAGACTCTGAGGAGAGGAGGCATGACCCTCTCCAGGGTGGCCCTCCCTTCACTGAGCCCAGGAGTCTGGAGCTCCAGGTCAGTGAAGCTGTCAGAACACAAAGAAATGCCTCTGATAAACTCTGGGGCATGCCTTCTAGCACGGCAGCATGAGCTGGCCTACTCCCCAGGCAAACCGGTGATAATTATATAAAATAACCATGTAAAGACTCTGGAAATGGCCCCAAAGACAAACAGCCGGTGGAGAAACATCTACTCAAGAACATCTATGAAAATTTAGAAAGAAAGGTCAGAGGATGTGCCATAGGAACCAGGATTACACCCTCCCTGCCCTTCCCTCTCCCCACCAGGTCCTCATGGTGCAGACTCCCCTCCAGACTGAAGTAGCCAGACACAGGGCTCTCTCTCCCTGAGCACTCAGCATTCAGCCGGAGGGCTTTATCCTGGGAGGAGCAGGACTGCATCATTTCTCATCCTGCCCGGCCGCCTCTTGCTGAGTCCCAGGTGAGTGAAGTCCAGAGACTGGGGCTCCCTCCTGCCCAGCTCCCGATCGTGGAACAGGGGCTCTGCCTGGGGCTTGAAACACTGAGCACATGGGGACCCTCACTGGTCTTGCTTTGGGTCATGAGATGGAGGCTGTCCATGCTAGGAGAGGCAAGCGGCTTTCCCCTCCACTGAGTGCTCAGCTCCGAGAGGGGAGGGGAAGTCCCTCAGAGAGGTTCCCACCTGCAGCTCCAGAAAACTTGCTCAGAGGTTTTGCTGGGGAAGAGAAGCAGGCCATAAAACGGATAGTCTCTAATCTCTTCCCAAAAAACTGGCTTCATCTACAATAGAGCATGACTTTCAAGCCCAAGGTCACTCTCAGAAACAGTGCAGGCCTTGGTGAAAGGCAATTTGGAGGACAGGCAGGGACACAACGAAGACACAGTCTCAGCTGTAGGTCAGCTCATTTGCAGAAATGAACCATGGAATAAAGAGTCTGAGTGCGCCATCCTCACATCAGAAAAAATATCAAACACTGACATCAGAAAATACTCCTTCAAAGGGGACAGAATTTGACTGGATTCATGTATAGAGCAATTTATACAACAGGGCAGGGTTGAAACACTAGAGTGACCAGTGAACAGTTAGGGGAGTCAGCTGGTTGTGGTCAGGACATCCCTGCCAACACATGGATATACCCTGCCATGCCCGACACTGTTCCTCCCTGAGCTGGGGGTGGGGGTGAGGAGAATAAAACCAGGCAGTAAATATTGAACAAGCAAATACCAACTGCAAGCCCTGGAAAGGTGGAACCAGTACCCAGGATTGCTATAACATACTGTCTAAACTGTGCAGTTTCCAATGAAACTTATGAGCAAGCAAAGAAAATACGGCCCACACTCTAGAGAGAAAGTAGTCAATAGGAACTGCAGGTGAGAGAGAATCAGATGTTGTCTTTAACAGGAAAAGACTCAAAACAGCCTTATAAATATGGTCAGAGAGCTAAAGGAAAGCATGCTCAAAGAAGTGAAGGAAGCCGCGAGGCAATGTTATACAAACCAGAGGACATCAATAAAAAGATAGAAATTATTCTTATAAACATGGAAAATCCGTCAAAGGAAGGGGTAGTCTCTGAAATTTAACAATTCAACACAAAAGGTCTGGTCTCCAGCCCTGCACCTAAAGAGCCTGGAGGTTGTCACTCCCGGCTTTGCAACAGGAGAGCGGATGCAGAAACCGCAAATCAAGGACTCATCTTGGCTCCGTCAGGGAATGCAGACACAGTAGCAGCAGCTCCCAAACTGGAGGGACGGGTGAGAAGAGGGGCTTGCTTGCCAGGAACCCCCAAAGGTACTGACTCCCTGGGGGAGACTTCGGGAGGACCAAGTCCAGGGATAAAACTCCTGCAGCTCAAGGGGCCCCAGCGCGTTCTCAGAGTGAAGAACAGAGAAAAACCCCCTTACGCTTCCGGCAGGGAAGGCACTGCAAGCATTTTGAATTATGCCCAGAGCATTCTGTCCTACTTAGCAAAGACATGGCCTCAGGAAGAGCCCAGCCAGTGTGGGGAAGGGAGACACCCGGTCCCGCCGAGTTGGCCTTCCTGTCCACCCTAAGCAGGGAAAGAAGGGTCTCAGGTGGGGGCGGTCTCCTGAAAGACTGGGACCTAACCCCCGGGTGACAGAATGCAGCCCCCACAGCAGGCCCACACGCACAGAGCTCTGTCCACATCAGAACCTGGTGCCCACAGCTGTGACACAGAAGGGGCCATGCAGCCTGCGCGGAAAAGAGCAGGGCCGCTCTTCAGATAATGAAACATAAAATCCACTACCAGGTACTGAATGGGTGACATACACATTACTAACAGTGGCCAAGTAGTGGCAACAGTTTAAATGTCCAGCAAGTTATTACTGGATGAAAAATGTCCTATATCCATATGACAGAGTATTATTTGCCCATAAAAAGGAAAGAAGTATGGATAGACATTAAGACAAAATTAAGCTTCAAAACATTATTTGAAGTGAAAGAAGCCCCTCACAGAGGACTGCGTATTACAGAATTCCATACATATGAAACTCCAGATGAGGGAAATCCAGAGAGATGCCAACAGATAAAGTGAATGCCAGGTGCTGGGGGACCGGGAAATTGGGAATGAGTGAACAATCCAGATGGGACTTACTGTGTTATAAAAATGATCTGCAATTAAATATTAGTTATGGTTGTTGCACATCAAGAATGTACAAAAAGCCACGAAATGATACACTGTAAAATGGATAAAACAGCAAATTTTGTTATGCATGCTACATGGATTAAAAACCAAGTTCTATAAAATAAGAGTTACATAAATCATAGTAAAAGGAAGTAAAGATTAGCAGCACACAGCCCTTCATCCCACCCTGCTCTAGAGGAACCTGACACTCAGTGGTTGGGCAACCTAGAGCCAGAAATTCACCCAATTACAAAACACCAGGAAAGAGAAACTTCTGAGAAGCCAAACCTACCCTAGACGGGGAGGGCCCCTGAGCAACGTCCCAGCATCGAACCCACCTGTGCAGTCTCTGCATCAGAAACTCACTTCCCAACCCTTCTTCAGTGGGGATACACCTGCTCCTTCCAAAGATGGAGATGCTCAAGGAGGAGCATGAGGTGGCTGTACTCGGGGCGCCCCAGAGCTCGGCTCCCGTGACGACCACTGTGATCAACATCCGTAGTGAGACAGCCGTGCCCGACCACATCGTCTGGTCCCTGTTCAACACCATCTTCATGAACTGGTGCTGCCTGGGCTTCGTGGCCTTCGCCTACTCCGTGAAGGTGAGGGGGTGTGGGGAGGGACTCTCCCAGAAGGTGCAGTGAGCCTGCGGAGGTCCGCCTGCCCACAGGCCATGTGGGGTGTGGGGAGCCCTTGTGTGTGTGTGTGTGTGTGTGTGTGTGTGTGTGTGGAGTGAAGCTGCAGGAGGGGCCGGGGTTGGCCATGAGCAGCCTTTGTCCCCAAGATTCCAAGGACGTCCCCTACTGACCAATACTAGAAATTACATCCCTCAGATGCACGTGTGGCTCCGAGGCTCGCCCAGAAAGAACAAAGGAACTCACAGGAAACTGCCTCCCGGTGGGGTGTGAGGCCAGTGAAGGGGCCAAAGCAGGGGGAGGACAAGGCCTGGGGTCTCCTGAGAGGCTGAGGAAAGAGATGCAGGCCCCAGGAGGGAGGGGCCCACGGGGCACTGTCCTGCTCAGGCTCCAGGGAATGGGGAGGGTGAAGGGCAGGTGGAGACTGCCCTGGGCAGGGACCAGCCAGGGGGGCACCTGAGTCCCAGGCTCTCACCGGGACCTGGGCCTGATCGCACGCTCCATCTCTTCTCCCCAGTCTAGGGACCGGAAGATGGTGGGTGACATGACTGGGGCCCAGACTTATGCCTCCACCGCCAAGTGCCTGAACATCTGGGCCCTGGTCTTGGGCCTCCTTCTGACCATTGGCTCCATTGTTCTTCTGGTGATTGCCTGTGGTACACTCTACAGTGTAATCTTAAAGTTGATGCAGGGGAGCCGTGGGTACCACTAGGTGCTCATGGCAGGAGATCCAAGTCCTCCACCGTGCGCTGCTGGCCATGTCCCTTAGCGTCCAGCCCTTTACACTGTGTTTAAACAGACTTGCCTGTCTACAGCTGAATTCAATAAAGTGCACTTGTGTGTGACGTGCCGTGACGTTCCCTGGGGTTGAGGGGCCCCTGCTGGAGTCCCTAGCCTGCCCCTGTGACTGGGCCCACCTCCCCCCACACCCCCACCCCCACCCAGCTGTGTGGCTCTGAGGGGCCAGGGTCCTCAGGCTGTGCCGGTCTCTGGTCTCCTGCTGGGAGCAAGCACTGGACCAGGGTCCTAGGGTGGGGGTCCCCGACCCAAGGATGTCCCGTGTCCAGAACACCCTTGGTCCCGAGGGTAAGGCTCCCTGACTCTCAGGTGCGTGGAAGTAGTGGTGCTGGGGGGAATGGGCAGCTCAGGTCCTCTGGGGAGGCCATGGGATTTTGTATCTGTGGGTGCAGCTGATGGAGACCCGCACCTCCCAGCCCCTCTGGGCTGATCCAGACATTGCTGCATCCTGCTGCTGCCTCCCCCAGCCCACCAGCTCTGTCCTTGCTCCTCTGGGGGTGGGGGTGGGGACAGCCCGTGAGTGGCCTGGGGGAGGGACAGAGCGCTCAACTGTGGACTGACTGCCAAAGCTGATCATCAGACCTGGTGGCTAAACCCCAGTGGACAGAAAGCTTGAGCGGAAGGACTCCCCCGCTCCACCCAAACCAAACTGGCCCTGCAGGGTGGAACAGCTGCTCAGTGCCCCGGGAAGGGTCTCCCAGCCACCGGGGGCCCCGGGGCACTAGGTGTGAGCTTTTGCCAGAGCCTGGGCTGCCCTAGGGAGTGGGGGCCATCCTCAGCCCCGTGCAGGAGGAGCTTGCCCCAGCAGGTGTTCCTGTCTGAGGCCCCAGAGGGAGTGGGTGGGGGGCACCCTCTACACAGTCACCCCGGAGAGGCTGGAGAAGTCCAGGCGGCCACAGGCGGGTGTCAGGGTGGGAGCCCCTTATCCAGGGGCGCCTTGCTCTTTGGGGCACCTGGGCTTGCCTGGATTCCAGCAGTGGGGCCAGGTCAGTCCTGGAGGCTCCCCTTGAAGTCAGCAGCTCTTTGTGCTTCCTGCCTCCCTCCCTCCCTCCTTCCCTCTCTCCCTCCCTCTTCTCCTTCCCTCCCCTGCTTCCTCCCTTCCCTCCCTCCCTCCCTTGTAATGCAAGTGCCAGACCTAATCAGAAGCACCATTTCGGAGACAGCTATCTCAAATAAGCACATGGCCAGCCTAACGACAAGATAAAGTGCCTGTGGGGCGCCTGGGTGGCTCAGTTGGTTAAGCGACTGCCTTTGGCTCAGGTCATGATCCTGGAATCCCGGAATCGAGTCCCGCATCGGGCTCCCTGCTCAGCAGGGGGTCTGCTTCTCCCTCTGACCCTCTTCCCTCTTGTGCTCTCTATCTCTCATTCTCTCTCTCTCAAATAAATAAAATCTTTAAAAAAAAAAAAAAGATAAAGTGCCTGGCCACCTAGGAAAGATCTTGGTTGATTTTGATAACTATTTGGGACCAGATTTCCGGCTGTTGTGGTTTGAGCTCCCTGCAGAGTGTCAGGTGTTCCTTTGGTCCAGCTTCCTCCCTTTCCCTCTCTCTCTCCCCCTCCCTCTCCCTGTCTCCCTGTCTCCCTCCCTTCCACCCCCCCCACCCCAAACCCCACCTCAGAACCTGTTTTGTGGCTACAGCTGTGCTGTGGAGTTTCCAGGTCTCTTATTTTAAAAGTTTTTCAAGTTTGCTGGTAGCTGTAGCTGAAGGGCTTCTTAGAATAAGAACCACCAGGGCGGGTCAACTACAACATTGGTTATTAATAAGCTGAGACTGTAGAAAACAGGTAAAACAGTGGGGAGAGTCCCAGGCTAAAGACCCCAGGGCCCACCCACACCCCTAAATAGCGAAGTTGTGTAGGCCTGATTTGAGTGACTGGGACAGGAAGCTCCCCCACAAACACCTCTGGCTCCTCCCCCCTGCCCTGGTGTAACCTGATGCTCAATCACTGGTCCTAGCCAGTTCACCCCTTTGGAAAAAGCAGGAAATAGAAACTTTGGAGAAATCGAAACTACTGGGGGAGGGAGGGCCTGGAGCACGATCCGGCATCCACATCCACACCGCAGGTGCTCCATCTCCCACCATGAGCCACAACTCCCAGCACTTCTTCCTGGGCGCCCCCCACGGCGTCCCCCCGACCTACGAGATGCTCAAGGAGGAGCACGAGGTGGCTGTACTCGGGGCGCCCCAGAGCTCGGCTCCCGTGACGACCACTGTGATCAACATCCGTAGTGAGACAGCCGTGCCCGACCACATCGTCTGGTCCCTGTTCAACACCATCTTCATGAACTGGTGCTGCCTGGGCTTCGTGGCCTTCGCCTACTCCGTGAAGGTGAGGGGGTGTGGGGAGGGACTCTCCCAGAAGGTGCAGTGAGCCTGCGGAGGTCCGCCTGCCCACAGGCCATGTGGGGTGTGGGGAGCCCTTGTGTGTGTGTGTGTGTGTGTGTGTGTGTGTGTGTGTGTGTGGAGTGAAGCTGCAGGAGGGGCCGGGGTTGGCCATGAGCAGCCTTTGTCCCCAAGATTCCAAGGACGTCCCCTACTGACCAATACTAGAAATTACATCCCTCAGATGCACGTGTGGCTCCGAGGCTCGCCCAGAAAGAACAAAGGAACTCACAGGAAACTGCCTCCCGGTGGGGTGTGAGGCCAGTGAAGGGGCCAAAGCAGGGGGAGGACAAGGCCTGGGGTCTCCTGAGAGGCTGAGGAAAGAGATGCAGGCCCCAGGAGGGAGGGGCCCACGGGGCACTGTCCTGCTCAGGCTCCAGGGAATGGGGAGGGTGAAGGGCAGGTGGAGACTGCCCTGGGCAGGGACCAGCCAGGGGGGCACCTGAGTCCCAGGCTCTCACCGGGACCTGGGCCTGATCGCACGCTCCATCTCTTCTCCCCAGTCTAGGGACCGGAAGATGGTGGGTGACACGACTGGGGCCCAGACTTATGCCTCCACCGCCAAGTGCCTGAACATCTGGGCCCTGGTCTTGGGCCTCCTTCTGACCATCACGTTCATCATTGTTTTGGCCACTGGATCACTGATGATTTCCCAAACAATTTCAGAGATGATAAAATATTATGGAGGGTACTAGTAGCTGCCCGTGGCCTGAGGCTGTCACCTCTGTCACAGCGTTTTATGTACATGTCAGTCTGCCATTGTAGTCAATAAAGCACTTTTGCGTGATGGTGCTGTCTTTTCACCTGGGGAGGGGCCCTTTGAGATTCCCCACCCCGCCCCTGAGCCCACATCGTCCCTCACTGCCCACCTGTACCCTGCTCTGTGTTATGCGTGTGGTGGGTGGGCTTGTCCTGAGGCCTTGCATGTATCTGGCCTCCAGCTGGGGCAACACACGGAGGATGGTTTCAGGGAGAGGTCCCTCCTTCCCAGAGGTCTGTTGTCCTGTGGACACACACTGACCCAGAAGCCTGTCCCAACGGACCCAGCCGATGTGCACAAGTGCCCTGCAGAGTGTCAGGTGTTCCTTTGGTCCAGCTTCCTCCCTTTCCCTCTCTCTCTCTCTCCCCCTCCCTCTCCCTGTCTCCCTCCCTTCCACCCCCCCACCCCAAACCCCACCTCAGAACCTGTTTTGTGGCTACAGCTGTGCTGTGGAGTTTCCAGGTCTCTTATTTTAAAAGTTTTTCAAGTTTGCTGGTAGCTGTGGCTGAAGGGCTTCTTAGAATAAGAACCTGGCCCTGGTGCCTGGTGTGGGGTGAGGTCAGTGAGGGGTGGGGATGGCCACCTGCAGGCCCCAGCGCTGCCCAGCCGAAGTCCTGATGGGCTGCACTCAGCAGTGTCTGTGGGTGCTACTCCCACCATGGGTCATCTTGAGCCACCAACACGCTGTTCCCCTTGGGAGGGGAGAGCAAGGGCCAGGAGCTCACCCTTGAGCAGCTCTCCACCACGTGCCTGATAAAGTAGACTAGAGACTGTAGAAAACAGGTCTGTACCCTCAGGTGCACGGGTAACGGGAAAGTGTGCTGAAGTCCTCGCCAAGGGATGTGTTCTGAGAAGTGACGACTTACGGCTTATGTAATTGATGTGATCCATGGTTTACAGGTTTTTTTTTTTTTTTTAAAGATTTTATTTATTTATTCATGAGAGAGAGAGAGAGAGAGAGGCAGAGCGAGAAGCAGGCTCCCAAGGAGCAGTGAGCCCGATGCGGGGCTCGATTCCAGGACCCTGAGATCATGACCTGAGCCGAAGGCAGACGCTTAACCATCTGAGCCACCCAGGGGCCTGGTTTACAGGGTTTAATTTTAATCCTGGCCATGCTCAAAATGGATCACAAAATCCTGGCAGTGGGGCACCTCCGCTACAGGAGGTCTCTCAGGCTACCACGCCTGGATTCTATCCTGAAAGTGACACACAATCTCAGTGTGTGTGCGGGGCTGTATGGCTGCATCGTCAGGCCTCCATCCAGCCCCAGACCCCCACCTCCCGCTGTCCGCGTCCTGCCGCCCCTGCAGCGCTGGGATGCCTTCTCCATGTCTGGGCCTGACTGACCCGCAGCCAGGAAGCTTAGGGGATTGATGGACTCAAGGCCCAGCTCAATATGTAACTTCGGTTCCTGGAACCCGTGGACTAACACGCAGTGGAGGCCAGCAGGGCGAGCTCTCCCGCCCACCACTCCCTCCTCGCAGCCCTCTGCATTCCCAGCGGGAAGAACCCTGCGCTTCACTGCGCCTGAGGAAGAAGGAGGGGTTCCTTCCATTCGGACAGCCCAGCCAATGAGAGCAGAGCCCAGCCAATGAGAGCACAGCTCAGCCAATAAGAGCTAGTCACAGCCCAGCCAATGAGAACTAGTTATAGCTCTGCCAATGAGAGCACAGCTCAGCCAAGGAGAGTAGAGTCCAGCCAATGAGAGATGATCACAGTCCAACCAATGAGAAGCCAGTACACTTGCCACTCCCAGTTCACTCCAATGGACTTCTAGTTTACAACAGCCCTCCCAACTCCACCCCCCTCCCATAAAAGAGCTTGGATTTTTATGTTTCGGGACTTATATATGGTTTTGCCGTAGCTTCCTTTTCCAGAATTGTGATTTTCTGCTATTCCCAAATAAACCCCTTTTCCTGGTAAAATAACTGTCAGTTTTATTTTTAAGGTTAACAACCCAATTCCAATGTGTGGGGGACTGCCCAGACAACACTAAGGAAATGTTGGACACCAGCAGGGTGTTCACTACGTACTTAGAAATAATGTCAGATCCCACAGGTTAAGGGCTTAGTTTTACGAGACTGTCCTCCTGCCCCCACTTCAGGTGCCAGTCACAAGTCAGGGTTGTCACCTGGGCCTCTGACTGAGTGGCTGTAAATCCAAGGTTCCCATGACTTCTCAGTTCTATTCATTCACCAGAGCGGCTCACAGAACTCAGAGAAACATTTTACTTAACTAGATCCCCAGCTGATTACCAAAGGATCCAAGTCAGGAACAGCCAGATGGGAGAGGTGCCCAGGGTGAGGTCTGGGGAAATGTCCATGGCCGTTCCAGGCACACCACTGTCCCCGGATCTCCACGTGTTCCGCAACCCAGAAGTTCTCAAAACCTTGTCCTTTGGGTTTTATGGAGGCTTCATTACTTAGCCATGACTGACTCATTGGCCTTTGGCGATTGAACTCAACCTTCAGCCCCGCTGCCATCCCCGGAGGTCAGAGGGTGGGATAGAACTGACCCTCTAATCCCTTGGTTGGCTGTCCTGGCAGCCAGCCCCCATCCTTAGGTGAGGGTCCAGAAGTCACCTCATTAACATAACAAAAGACACCTTTATCACTTCAGAAATGCCAAAGGTTTTAGGGGTCCTGTGCCAGAAACAGGGATGTCGAAATACATATTTCTTTTTTTTTTTTTTTTAAAGATTTTATTTATTTATTTGACAGAGAGAGGGAACAGAAGCAGGGGGAGTGGGAGAGGGAGAAGCAGGCTTCCCGCCGAGCAGGGAGCCAGACGTGGGGCTTGATCCCAGGACTCTGGGATCATGACCTGAGCCGAAGGCAGATGCTTAACAACTGAGCCACCCAGGTGCCCCCGAAATATATATTTCTTAATATAAATCACCATATCACAGTATCTCAACAGGCAAAACATCATCCTGGCCCCTCTTTCTGGTGGGGCACAATGGGTCCAAGGAATCATGGCAGGCCCAAGTCAAACTCTCAGTGGGGCCCCTGGTTTGTGTCCTCCAAAATTTGTATCTTGAAATCTTAATGCCCAAAGTGATGGTAGTAGGAAGTGGGGGCTTTGGGAGGTAATTGGGTCATGAGGGTGGAGCCTCATGGGAGGATTAGTGCTGTTATCACAGAGACCCACAGAGCTCCCTAGCCCCTTCCAATATGTGAGCACACAGTGAGAAGTTAGTCATATGCAGCCAGGAAGAGGGTCTCACCGGAACCTGTCCGCGATGGCTCCCCGATCTGACTTCCTGCTTCCAGATCTGTGAGAAATAAATTTCTATTGTTTATGAGCCACCCAATCTATGGTACTTTTTATAACAACCCCAACTGATGAAGACAGGAGGTTGGGGCACAGGAACCTGAGGTCTTGTGGAAAAGTTAGGTTAGAGACCCTGGGAGCCCTTCTGCCAGAGTAGGTACTTAGGTATGAGTCTGGGGTTCAGTGAAGTCTGGCCCTTTGTTGTAAATATCCGTTATTGGCACATAGGTAGCATTTACAGCCAAGGGGTTGCTGGACGCTCCAGAGGGAGCCCAAAACAGAGCCCTAAGCTCATCCTTCCAAACCTCTGAGGATTCGGGAGGGCAGGAGTAACCAGCCAAGGGGGCTGAGAAGCAACTGTCTACCCACGAGGGAGGAGGGCGGGCTCCCTAGCAGATCACGGAGAGCTCACTGCAGCACCTCGCAGCGATGGTGCTGGGGTCTCCTCTGGCGAACCCCCTACAGTGCCGCAGCCCCGTTTCCGTCCTGCTGTGGCCGGTCTCCTCCCGCCAGCACATGGGCAGGGACTTCTGGAGTGCCAAGGCCGGCCGCTGGTGAGCCGAGGAGATCCCTGGCAGAACCCGAACTCTGGGTTCTGGGGATGGAGCCCAAGCCCGGGGGGTCTCCAGCCCTTCTCCGCAGCCGAGGCGACACGCCCCACCCACAGCCCCGAGGACTCCTTTTGGCCGCGGGGCAGGGGCTCGGGTGGGCAGTCTGCAGCCCGCGCACGCCCCTTCCCCTCGCCCCAGCCGCCGGCCGGCGGGGACTCCCGGGGCGGGGGAGGGGCTCGCGCGGCGGGGGGCGGGGGGCGTCGCGGCGGGGCGGGACGGGGCCGCGCTCTCCGCGGCGCAGGGCTGTAATTTGTCGTTATATTTAGCCGGCGGCGCCGGGCCGGGCTGCGGGAGGGCGGCGGCGGGGCTATAAGCGGCCCCGGGCGCCCACCCTCGAAGCGGGAGCCCGAGCGAGGAGGAGACGGCGCTGGAACCCATGGACACGTCGTACCCCCGCGAGGATCCCCGGGCCCCGACGCCCCGCAAGGCAGACGGCGCCGCCCACACGGCCCTCACTCTGGGGGCGCCGAGACCCCCACCTCGAGACCACTTGATCTGGTCGGTGTTCAGCACCCTCTACCTGAACGTGTGCTGCCTCGGCTTCCTGGCGCTGGCCTACTCCATCAAGGTGGGCGGGCGGGGTCTTTCCGGACGGGGGTGGGGGCGTGCTTGTCCAGAGGGCCTGAGAGGCTTGTGGCGGGAGGGCCTCTCCAAGGGGCGATGCCTGTGAGAAGGCCCCTCCGTTAGCCGGGCGGTGGACAAGCTCTTCACCTCATGAGGGCTTCTCCATTGAGGCAGGGGTACTGTCCTTAGTGGGGGGGTCTAGTCCCTCCAGAGGAGCACAGAGTTGGTGGGGGGTTACCCAAGGGGGTCTTTTTCATCAAATGGCTTTTCACATGCTGGGGGCTCCTATGACCAAAGCCCCTCTGGCTTCAGCTCCTTGGGGTCCTCAGCACTCCAGGACTCTCCACCCACAGAGGGTCCTTGGAGGCTGATGCTGGCCCAGGTTGGTCTCTGAGTCCACAGCTGGAGTGGGAGGAGGCAGGGCCCCCAGTGTATGTGGAGACCTGGCCCTACCACTGGTCCACAGGCCCGAGACCAGAAGGTGGCTGGAGACCTGGAGGCAGCCGGGCGTTTGGGCTCCAAAGCCAAGTGCTACAACATCCTGGCCACGATGTGGGCGTTGGTGCTGCCGCTGCTTCTCCTGGCGCTGGTGGTGACCGGGGCTCTGCACCTGTCCCGGCTGGCCAAGGGCTCTGCCGCCTTCTTTAGCACCAAGTTCGACGACTCGGACTATGACTGACAGGCTGCGCCTCGTCTGCATCCTGACCCGCGGACCCTGACCCCAGTACTAACCCCCAGGGCACTGCTCCAGGGACTCTACCCTGACCCCCTGGAACCCCAACTCCACCACAGGACCTGATGGCCGCCCCTCCCACCCAGCCTGGGCACCTAATGCTGACCCTGAAGATCCCTTATTTGGACCCCAGTGGCCTCAACTGCAACCTTGATGGTCCCCGCTCCCCTAACTCCTTGTACCCAGGCTGGACCCTCCCTCCTCACTCACCAGACTCACTCAGCCTTAGTTTCACAATTAAAAGCACCTGGTTCCAGAAAGTGCCTCCTGGGCTTTTTGCTGGGGTGGCAGAGGGTTTCTTCCTGAGAGGAACCACCCACCCTAGGGGCTCCCCTGGACTGACCCCAGCATGATGGTAGGATGACCCGTGCTGTCTGCTGGGCCGTGCTCCGACTGTCGCCTTCACTCAGGCACTGGGTGGCTTGTGGCTTCTGGGGTGGAGGCGCCTGAGTATTTTAGACTGAAGTCTGGGAACTCAGGCTTTTGATCTCTGCTGCCCTGCTGGGCACTGTGGTTTAGTGGGCTCTCTTCCAGAACATGTGTGCCCTTCCCCATCTGTGTGTGCACTTGTGTTAAGTGGGAGCCCCTAGGAGGATATCACTTGTCCTCACCCTGCATGTTTCTGTCAGTGGGTCAGGCGAGTGCCAGCCTCCTTCTTTGGGTCATTCTGTCTGTCCCTATGACTCCTGCATTCCTTTAGTTTTGAGAAATTTCAGTCCCCACAGTGCGTTCCCTCTCTCCTGGGTCAGTGAGGCTCGACACAGACACATGAGCACACAGGCGTGACCCTTCTATCAACCATGCACACAAACCTCACACACATATGTGCAGTTGGGCAGAGGGTGAACATTGGCGGGTGAGGACACTTTCTGAGCATCCTTGGTGCTGGGTACACGTCCTTGTATCATTCTACCTCCCTTGTGCACCACTCTCCCCCTTCCCGGAAACCAGCAGAGCCTGGCAAAGAGGGGGGTTGCTAAATCCATGCACACACCCTGTGTGGTTGGGGATGAGGTCCCTTAGGCCTCCCTGTGGCTGATCCAATGACAGGGCAGGCTAATTGCAGGGGCCTTAACTGCAGGGCGGTCCAGGCTTTTGAGCACCCCACCCAGAGAGCACCCCTTGCCTACCCATCTGCCTGGGCTGGGTGTGGGGGTCTGTCTAGCTGCTGTACTTGGAGCCTCAGAATAGCCCCCTCTTCTGTGACAGCCAACAGCTGGCCTGTCTCCACAGCAGAGATGGTAGAGATGGTATCCTGGCCACATATCAACAGCATCCCAGCCCTACGCTGGAGTGTGTGCTGCCCCATGCCAGCCCCTGCAGGTAGGGGTATGTGCTGCCTGGGGCCTGGGGATGGAGATGGGGCACTGGCCCATGCTGGGTGCTGGTCCCACGTTGGAGTGTGCCAGTGCCTGGACCAGGACGGATACAACATGCCAACCCTGAGCTCCAGGTTTGGCCCAAGAAGGGAACCACCTGCGCTGGATGCACAGGTCAGAAGTGGGGATCAGCTTGTGTGCGACCAGGTACATGTCCCCAGGCATGGGATGGTCTGCTAGTCCCCACATTTGGTGAGGGGAACAGAGATTGCCTGGCCTGTGCCCAGGTGCTGAGGACACAGAGTGTGTGGTCCAGACAGGCGTGGGGGAACGTTACCAGCAGCCCTCCTCATCCCAGGCTGTCTCCGGGGCAGGCTGAGGGACCCCGATCCAGTTTAGGCAGTTGGCTCTACTACGGACCCCTGACCAGCCATGCCAGCACACGTGCGTGCCACCCTGCCACAGCCCCCTCGGAGGGTCACTGCACTACGCGTCCAGAGGCACACGTACGTGGCACGTACATGCAGGAAGCGTCAGGCCGTACCAGTCCTGTGTGTACAGGGCCACCTGCCACCCCCCCCCCCCCCCCACCGATGTCTGTGCCCACATCTGGCTCCAGGGCTGCGAAAATGAGCCTCTGCGCTACTGGGATAGGCCCAGCCACCATGCCCTGCTTTAGCAGGTCTGCCTCAGCCTTTGCCACACGTCCAGCAGCTGGAGGGGAGCCGGTGGGCACCTGGGCAAGGTGCTGGCTCCAGTCTCTGGGGCCACATGCTCTTGGGGACCAGCACTGACATCCATGCTGATCTGCAGCTTGGCTGGTTGTGCTCCCTTGGAAGCCATCCTTCTTCCCACATGCTGCTCCCACAGTAACCCGGAGACAAGCCTTAGGATCCCTGACACCTCCACCCCCACTCCTTCCCCACTCCATCACAGCTTGTATGCCTGGTGTCTGCTGCCTGGAGAACTTGGACTACCTCTCCACCCAGAACAGAGAGAGAAGAGGGGGTTGCCAGAGTGAAGGAGGGTGGCAGGCCCACTGCTTGCTCTATATGGGCGCATTACTGCACTTCCTGACCTGACTCCATCCATTAGGCAGCCCTCACTTTCAGAAGGAAGGAGAGCACCAGCTCCTTATGGCAGACAGACTTTTCTCAGCATGGAATTTTAATTTCTCAGGCAGACCTGGTGTAGGTGGCATGGTTCTCACCAAAATTTTGGCAGCAGGTACCACCTCACCTCATTCTTGAGAAACCCCCAAGGACCCAAGTTGGATGTGCCAGCCAAGGGGCTGAGGCCCCAGGAGGACAGGCAGCCTGTTAGGACAGATGGGCCCAGGCCAGTGGCCTTGAACCATGCACCCGTGGCCCCAGTCCTTCTGGCAGGTCAGAGGGAAGGTGCAGGGTCTTGTTCTGCACCCCACCTCCCTCTCTTCTTGGCTGAGGAAAAACCTGTGATGGGGACTGTCCAACCTCACTGAAATGGTCCAGAGGCTGGAGGAGCCACAGACTGAGGATGCTGAGTGCACCTGGATTCAGCCGTGCCTGACCTCATCCATGTGACACACGAAGTTCCATTTTGGTCTGTAACTGAGAGAGTCCCCAGGAATTCCACAGGGGACCAACGTCCTGCCTCATGCCCTCACCCCTGCCATCCTCCACATGGAGGCTTGCACCTGTGTCTGCCTTCTCAGCAGAGTTGTCGGCCACACCCCGGCCCCACGTTGTGGTGTCCCGGGAAAGGGTACATGTGCAGGTGTCAGCCCAGAAAGGCAGGCACAGATGTGGCTGAGTGTGAGGCCATGGGGAAGCTGCAGTCCATGGAGGTTTAGGCTGGGGAGGGGCTCAGGCTAGAGGCAGACCACCTTGAACTTTGGGCCAACAAATTCAGACTTTCCCTGGAGCCTGTGAGCCTGGCTGCTGGTTGGAGAGTGGGCAGGAGGGAGGAGGTCAGCAGGCTGGGAGGGTGTTGAGGAGGGGTGGATGCAGCCAGCTGGGGGGTACCCACAGAGGGAGGCCAGATGGGAGGACCCAGAGACATCCCTGAAGCCCTGGATGTTCAGGTGCAGTGCCCAGGACAGCCCCAGGGTGAGGACACTGGTGGGGCTGGAGGACCCAACAGTGTCCCACAAGGGGTCTGTGGGTTCTGGGGCAGGTGTTTAACGTCTTCAAAAAATTCTCCTAGGAAACTCTTGGAGCAGAACTTGCTGCCTCTGGGAGTGACCTTTGTATCCGTCCAGCTGACGAGGGAAAGGAGACTTTGTGCCCTGCAGGGAGAGGGGGGCATCTGGAGTGGGGGCACATACCTAGGGGGCTACCCTGGGGGGTTCACCTGCCCCGGACCCCTGGGTGAGTCTGGGGGTGGTTGCCTACCTGGGAACAGGGGGAGTCGAGTGTGTGTCGGCCACAGCTCAGCCTCCAGCAGGGGGGCCCAGGGTCCTGCCTGGGCTTTGACCTCAATTGTCACAGAGCCCTCGGAGAAGGAGAAGTCAAGCTTGCTCCCCTGGTAGGAGATGCCATAGATGCACACTCCAGAGACCCCTGCCAGACACATGGGGTCGAAGGTCACGCCAGCCCTGGTGATCCTGGGGGGAGGGGAGACGTTCATGAGAGCAGGAAGTGGGGGGGCATGTGACTGCTCTCTGTTGGGCCTATACTCACCTGAACCCTGTGAATCCAAAGAGTGCCGCTTGCACGAAGCCCCCCATGCCGGTCAGGAAGTTCACAGCGCCCGATCCATCTGCATTCTCTGTCCACACCTGCACGTGGTCAGGCAGTTAGTGCCCGGACTCCCAGGATACGGGCCCCCATGAGGCTGCTGCCCCTGCTCCCAAGGGCAGGGCCCGAGGTCAGGCAGGAGTCACCAGGGACCTGACCCTGCTATGACTCCCCCTGAGGCTGGGCTCCCACTCCTACCAACCAGGGGCCGGAGCGGGAGGCAGGTGTGGTCAGCGTGAGAGCTGATACTGAGACCAGGCTACCTTGAATGGCTCAGCTATGTTGGCAAAGTTCCTTTCTAGGAGGTCCCGCGCCCGCCAGGGGTCCTTCAGCTCCATCCAGCCCACAGCAAACATGCTCTGGGGTCAGAGGTCAGAGGACATGCTGGGGCATAGCCCACTGCACGGGGAGGGGAGACTGAGGCCAGTGGGGCAGGGCTGGGGCTGCTGTGAGGACCGCCACCCCACACCCCTGCAGTTTCCTTACCCAGGTCATGGCAGGACCTTTTGGGGACGTCACAGCCTCATAAATCTCCAGGTTTTTCCTGCGAATGTGAGGACTCAGGTGGAAAGGGACGGGGTATCCCAGGAGCACAACGTCTGCCTGCTTCACCTCCTCTCCTAGGGAGGGACAGGTGCTGCCAACGGGGGAGGGAGCAGGAAGGGGGAGCTGCTCTATCAGGTAGGGGATATTCAGGGTGGACATAGGTCCTGTTGGAGGGGTGAAGGGGTCCTGAAGCAGCTCCGAGTACACTCACCAGGCTGGTACCCATCAAACTCAGGGTGGAAGTTCCGCATTGGGTCAAAGGGCACCTTGATCTTATCAGCCACTGCCAGCCATTCGCTGGGGACAGGCTGACCCAGGTCCCGGGCCAGAGCAGCAGCAAAGCGCAGGCTAGGGGCGGAGGAAGGGAGAGGGGGGCTATAGCCCCAGCCCTCCCTGCTGGCCCTCTGCATGGTGGCAGTATGGGCAGCGGTCTTGGGTCTGACCTGTTCTGGACCAGGACGTTGGTGTACACGGAGTTGTTGACCCCTGAATGGTATTCATCGGGAGGCATGACTCCTGGGCAGACAAGTGCAAGACGGTGCTTAGTGCAGGGTCCTAGGGACCTGCCCCTGATGCCAGTAGCCAGTGTGGGGCTGGCAACATCAGGTGCCAAAGATCACATGCTGAACTGAGGAGCATCCACCTGCCCCGCCAACTTGTGGCCACCTACTCTCCCGGCCACAGCTGTCCATGCCTCTCCCTTCCACCACTGGCCCTCCCCTGTGACCCGTCCCCCATGACTATCCCGCCCTCCTCGTGCCCTCACCCTTCAGGTGGTACTTTTCCTCCTCAGGGCTCCACTCCACACGGCTGCACCAAAACTCAGCCACGTCCCTGACCACATCCCAGCCACCAGCTT